AGAGAAAAAGAGAGTGTGTGTGTGAGACACCCCTCTCACCCTTTTGTTTGGAGAAAGTGGAAGCCTAGAAAAACTGCTCACTTCAAATGACATAATGCAAAGTTTTTCTTTTCTCTTTTTTTTCTGCTTTGTGCCATTTTGTGTTACAGCTCGAGTGAGTCATTGGTGGAAAGAAGGGAGGAAGATTTGAGAAGAAATATTGCTGTTAAATGAGTTTGGACAGCATGACATCACGGGGTAATTAAAACAGCTTTCTGGAATTCCGTTTCCAATTCCTGCGCTCAGGTTTGCTGGAGGATTTTTTCGAGCACCTGCAGGTTGGTGTGTGAGTGAAATATTTTCACTGGACGGAGTTCAAACTTTGAAGGGAAAGAGAGAGAGAGAAAAAAAACCGGAGGCAGCGGCATTACGCCATTCTTGCCTCTCTTGGAAAAAAGTGGGATTTAAAGAAGTTTCTTACAAGATATCCAGCAGAATCGTGCCGTGAGTGTTTAATGCTAGTCCACCTTCCCTCAGCCTTCTCTTGGATTTCTCCTCCCGCAGACAGGACCTCTCAGCACTATGGTTCTGACACATGACGGATGGGAGAATAAGGGTTTGCAGGATTTGTTTCTTCTGCTTATAAAACTCAGTTATAGTCCACATCTTTGCTTTTACAACCTTGCATATGTCTATAGCCTATTTCAGACTGGAGAGGCACTTTTTATTCATTTCACCTCTGGCAGAGCGCAGAGTAGACTCAGAGGATGAAAGACTCGGAGCAAACAGGACTGCTCCCTCTTCTTCTTTTAACCAAACGGGTCAATTAATTCCGAACAGACTGCGCTTTAATACAATGACGGCCTGGCAGAAGGCAACAGGGCTTTAGGATGAAAGTTGTGAAGCGTCTTTCTCTTCTGCTCAGCTGCTGGACTCTTATTTACCTGCATCCCGTCCTCGGTTCACTCAGCTGGACCAGACCGACCGAGCTCCACCACCACCGGCTTGGAGAGGCAGCAGAGCGCGCGGCAGGCGGCGGGGAAGGAGAGCAAGCGCACCGGCGGACCGGCGGAGGAATCGGTGGCTCTACAGCAGCCGCGGGGAGGCAACCGGTGACCGCTTCTGGGACGTGGAAACCCTCACCGGTGAGTCCGGCGAGGATTACGCGGATCCGCGCAGGCCCGCCGTTAATCAAGGGCGAACCTACTGTTAATAAAAACAAACTTACAGCGGCGACATCTGCGTCCTCGTCCTCGCCGCCGCGCAGCGGGGTCGTGCCGGTGAACCGGTCACAGCTGCAGCAGCAGCACCGGGACAGAGCAGTCAGCTTAGGGCGCAAAGAGGCTGTGCGCTCCTGGCTGCCCGCCGGGGATGTTCACGTTAAAGCGCCAGCTCCTGCGGCTTTTAGCGCGCATGCAGCGGGGAAAGGGGTCGGGACTCCCGGAGGTGGAAGGGGTGGCTCACCGGGGAAACATTTTGGGAAAGTTGCTTCCAGAGCGAGCGCGGCGGCTCCAGTGCGCACCGGGTCTCCGCAAAGAGCCACCGGTGCGCAAAAGCAGCCGCAGCAGCAGCAGCAGC